AGATACCCAGGAGTGCGTAACAGACTGACATCAGACTGAAGAGTTCAGCTGGTTAAAAGTAGAATAACGGATACCTGGGAATGAGTTGCAACCTGGAATCTAATCGAGTGGTTCGGGGTGTTTATATGTAGAACAGCAGGTACCCAGGACAACGACAGAAATGCTGGAGAAACTCAGCAGGTCTGGCAGCATCTGTGGTGAGAAAGCAGAGTTAACATTTTGAGTCCATTGACCCTTCTTCAGAACTGATAGTAGCTAGGAAATGGTCAAATTTATGCTGATAACAGGGAATGTGAGAGAAAACAAATGAGCAGATAGGTGGAGACAGAGCCCGGAGAGAATGGAAGTTAGCCAAATAAAGCGATTGTTGATAGTAAGCAATGAAGGAGAAGCGTTGATAATGGAGACTATGAGTAGTGAAAATGAGTTGACTGTGCTGAAAGCAGACTGTGTCATGGCAGGGCCCAGGGTGTGCAAGTGGGAAAAGGACATGGAATGAAGGTGTTGAGATTCTAAAATTATTGAACTTGATTTTGAGTCCTGAAGAGTGCAGGGTCCCCAATGACGTGTTGTTCTTCAAGAAAACTGAAAGAACTACTGATGCTGTAAATCAGGAACAAAAACAGAAGTTGCTGGAAAAGCTCAGCAGGTCTGGCAGCATCTGTGGAGGAAAAAGTCAGTGTTGATGTTTCAGGTCCAGTGACCCTTCCTCGGAACTAATGGTAGCTGGGAAAATGTTGGTTTATATGCAGAAAATAGGGAGGGGGGTGGATTTGGGAGTAAATGATAGGATAGAGCCTGAAGAGAGAGAAAAGCAGTTGGATAGACAAAGGTGTTGATAACGATCTGGCTAGGAGGGTGTTGTTCTTTTCCGCTTGGAGACTCTGCAGCCCCCCGGACTTAATATCGAGTTCAATAATTTTAGGGCCTAAACTCTCGCATGTCCTAGCCCCTACACCACACACCAAACCTTGTTATGACATAGTCTGCCACCACACACTACCTATTGTTAGTAACTAACAGTTGCCATTAACAACTATTCACCCTCCTAGCCAGATCGTTATCAACTCCTTTGTCTATCCAACTGCTCTTCTCTCTCTTCAGGCTCTATCCTATCGTTTACTCCCTACCCCATCCCTCTCCCTATTTTCTGAATATAAACCAACATTTTCCTAGCTACCATTAGTTCTGAGGAAGGGTCACCGGACCCGAAACACTAGCTCTGATTTTTTTTTCTCCACAGATGCTGCCAGACCTGCTGAGCTTTTCCAGCAACTTCTGTTTTTGTTGCTGTTCTTCCAGCTTGTGCTGAGCCTCACTGCAGCACTGCAGTGAGCCCCAGACAGAAATGTTGGCCATGGAATTCGGTGGTGTGTTGCAGTGGCAGGCAACAGGAAACTCAGGGTAATTTTTACAGACAGAACATAGGTCCTCCACAAAGCGATCACCCAGTCTGCGTTTCATCTCCCCAGTGAAGAGGAGAGCACATTGTGAGCTGCGAATACAGTAGACTGAATTGAATGAAGTGCAGGTAGATCGCTGCCTTACCTGGTGGGTGTACCTGGAGCCTTGGATTGTGAGGACGGAGTAAGTAAATGGCCGAGTGTTGTACCTTCTATGATTGCATGGGAAGGTGCCATGGAAAGGTGTTGAGAGTGGAGGAGGAGTGGGCCATCTGTCCCAGACGGAATGGTCCCTGGGGAATGCTGACAACAGAGGAGAGGGAGAATGTTTGTCTGGTGCTTTGAAGTAGCAGTGCTAATCACTGAGCCACCGTGCCGCTCACTTACTCCCAAAATTACCTGGACTATGTATTCTTTCACTTTGCTTCCCATAAGGACTCCATTCCATTCTCCCAGTTTTTCTGTTTCTGTTGCATCCATTCTGATGGTTCCACCTTCTACAGGTGAGAGGATATATAATCCAGGTAACTGGGAGTTGGGGTTGTAGTGGATATCCATGGCCAGCCAGCGTCCATGGGGGCAGCATCAGAAATATCCACTTTTAGAACACAAGAACATAAGAACTAGGAGCAGGAGTAGGCCGTCTGGCCCTTCTAGCCTGCTCCGCCATTCAATAAGATCATGGCTGATCCTTTCGTGGACTCAGATCCACTTACCCGCGTTCTCACCGTATCCCTTAATTCCTTTATTGTTCAAAAAAAATCTACCTTTTTTTTAAAAACGTTTACTAAAGTAGCGTCAACTACTTCACTGGGCAAGGAATTCCATAGATTAACAACCCTCTGGGTGAAGAAATTCTATCTCACTTCAGTCCTAAATCTGCTCCCTCTAATCTTGAGGCTATGCCCTCTTGTCCTAGCTTCACCTGCCAGTGGAAACATCCTCTCTACTTCTATCTTATCTATTCCCTTCATAATTTTATATGTTTCTATAATTCAATCTTCTGAATTTCAATGAATATAATCCCAATCTACTCAGTCTCTCCTCATAAACCAACCCCCTCAACTCCGGAATCAACCTAGTGAACCTCCTTTGCACCCCCTCCAGTGCCAGTACATCCTTTCTCTAGTAAGGAGACCAAAACTGCACACAGTACTCCAGGTGTGGTCTCACCAGCACCTTGTACAGCTGCAACATAACCTTTCTGCTTTTAATTTCAATCCCTTTAGCAATGAAGGACAAAATTCCATTTGCCTTCCTAATTACTTGTTGTACCTGCAGACCTACCTTCTGTGATTCATACACAAGGACACCCAGGTCCCTCTGCATAGCAGCATGTTGCAACTTTTTACCATTTATATAATAATCCTTTTTACTATTACTCCTACCAAAATGTATGACTTCACATTTATTTACATTGTATTCCATCTGCCAGACCTTTGCCCACTCACTCAATGTAGCGGAGGATTCCCCACCACAGTTGTTGAGCCCTTAGCCATGTCCGACCCATTTCCCATACGACTGCCCTCCCCCCTTCTCTCTCCTCCCATAACACCAATAGGGTCCCCAGTCCTCACTTACCATCCCACCAACATTCACATTCAAAGGATCATAAGCCACTGTTTCTGCTACCTCCAGCAGAATGCCACCAACAGACGCACATTCCCCTCGCCTCTGTTGTCAGCATTTCACAGGGACTGTTGCTCCTCAAGACACTCTGTTCCACTCCTTCTCCACTCCCAACATCTCCTCACACTCCCACAGCACCTTCCCATGCAATCATAGAAGGTACAACACTTGGCCATTTATTTAACCCTCCTTTACTATCCAAGGCTCCAGACACACGTTCCAGATGAAGCAGCAATTTACCTGCACTTCACTCAATCCAATGTACTCTATTCATAGCTCACAATGTGCTGCACTCTTCACTGGGGAGACGAAACACAGACATGGTGATCACTTTGTACAGCACCTACGTTCTGTCTATAAAAATGACCCGGAGTTTCCAGTTGCCTGCCACTACAACACACCACCGAGTTCCCAGGCCAACATTTCTGTCTTGGGCCCGCTACAGTGCTCCAGTGAATCTCAGCAGAAGCTGGAAGAACAGTATGTCATTTTCCACTTGGGAACCCTGCAGTCTTCGGGACTCAAATTCGAGTTCAATAATTTTAGAATCCGAAAAACTTCATTCCATGTCCTTTTCACACTTGCACACCCCAGGCCCTGTCATGATGCAGGCTGCTGTCAGCACAGTCAACCCATTTTCACCTGCTCATAGTCTCCATTATTAACATTTCTCCTTCCCTGGCTTACTATCAACCATCCCTTTATCTGCCTAATTTCCATTCTCTCTCTGAGCTCCGTCTCCACCTATCTGCTCATTCCTTTGCCTTCACATCCCCTGTTATCAGCATAAATTCCACCATTTCCTCACTACAATCAGTTCTGAAAAAGAGTCACTGGATTCAAAATGTTAACCCTGCTTTCTCTCCACAGATATTGCCAGACCTGCTGTGTTTCTTCAGCATTTCTGTTGATGTCCTGGGTATCTGTAATTCTACATATAAACACCCCGAACCACTCAATTAGGCTCTAGGCCGCAATTCACTCTCGGATATGTCATTCTATACATAAACCTGCCAAATCCCTCAATTAGATTTCAGCCTGCTACTCACTCCCAGGTATCTGTTATTTTACATTTAACCAGCCAAACTCTTTGATCAGATTCCAGTCTGTTACCCATGATCTGGTATCTGTTATTCTATATAAATCCAGCATTCACAGTTCTTTGTTTTATTTTAGCAGATATCCAGGATTCAGTTACAGACTAGCATATAATAAAAGGTTTCAGGGTGGCTGATATCTAAAATAACAGATGCCTGGGTGTGAATTACAAGCCAAACTCTAATTGAGAGGTTCAGGTGTTTATATATAGGGTAACAGGTTCCTGGGAATGAAGTACAGACCGGAATCTTATTGAGTCGTTTGGGGGGTTCATATACAGAGTAACAGATTTCTGGGAGTAGTCCAGAATCTATCTCATGAGTTTGAGGTTTAAATATAGAATCATTGATATTGAAAAGTGGGTTACAGGTTAATATTTAGAAAGGGGTTCAGGAATCTTACATGTAGAATAACAGATACCCAGAAGTGATCTTGCAGTTAGAATTTAATTGAGAAATTTAGGGTTGATAAATAAAATAACAGTTACTTGGAGTAAGTTACAGGTTGGAATCTCACCAAGGGATTCAGAGTGGTTTATAAAGAGAAAAAGAGCTTGTTATTGAAAACTGGAGTCTCATAGAGATGCTGAGAGGATTAATCGGGGCGACCAGAGGATTGAACTGATATAGTGGAGTTGTTTGCTAAATGTCTGTCTAATGGCCGCACTGAATGATGACCTAGAGCTCAGTGAGATCAGCGTGTTGTACTGTGCCATGTTTTTGGAGTGCAGGCTTGTTGCTGTGTTGGAGTGAGCGCCCTAGATACAAGCGGTGTGTTCTTTTCAGTGTTTGTGGATAACACATTCCCTCAACTTCTGCATGTATGGCACTATGTGTTATGGGCCCTGATTTTCAATGTGCTTGCCAACAGGAATGGGAAAAAAAGATGACCCTCGACTGATGCAGGAATGGTTTAAACTGGTGCAGGAGAAGAACAGCCTGGTCCGCTATGAGTCTGAGTTGATGATCTTGTGAGTATTGATTGTGCTTTCTGCATAATTCCAAACAGAATGCAATTCTTTCCAGAGATAGTAGGAACTGCAGATGCTGGAGAATCCGAGACAACAAGGTGCAGGGCTGGATGAACACAGCAGGCCAAGCAGCATCACAGGAGCAGAAAGGCTGACGTTTCAGGCCTAGACTCTTCATCAGAAAAGGGATAGGGGAAGGGGGTTCTGAAATAAATAGGGAGAGAGTGGGAGGTGGATAGAAGACAGATAGAGGAGAGGATAGGTGGAGAGGAAACAAACAGGTCGAAGAGGCGGGGATGGAGCCATAAAGGTGAGTGTAGATGGGGAGTTAGGGAGGGATAGGTCAGTCCAGGGAGGACGGACAGGTCAAGGGGGCGGGATGAGGTTAGTCGGTAGGAGATGAGGGTGCGGCTTGAGGTGGGAGGAGGGGATAGGTGGGAGGAAGAACAGGGTAGGGAGGCGGGGACGAGCTGGACTGGTTTTGGGATGTGGTAGGGGGAGGGGAGATTTTGAAGCTTGTGAAATCCACATTGATACCATTGAGCTGCAGGGTTCTCAAGCGGAATATGAGTTGCTGTTCCTGCAACCTTTGGGTGGCATCGTTGTGGCAGTGCAGGAGGCCCAGGATGGACATGTCGTCTGAGGAATGGGAGGGGGGGATTTCACAAGCTTCAAAATCTCCCCTCCCCCTACCGCATCCCAAAACCAGTCCAGCTCGTCCGCGCCTCCCTAACCTGTTCTTCCTCCCACCTATCTCCTCCTCCCACCTCAAGCCGCACCCCCATCTCCTACCGACTAACCTCATCCTGCCCCCCTGACCTGTCCGTCCTCCCTGGACTGACCTATCCCCTCCCTAACTCCCCACCTACACTCATCTTTACTGGCTCCATCCCCGCCTCTTCGACCTGTTTGTTTCCTCTCCACCTATCCTCTCCTCTATCCGTCTTCTATCCACCTCCCACTCTCTCCCTATTTATTTCAGAACCCCCTTCCCCTCCCCCTTTTCTGATGAAGGGTCTAGGCCCGAAACGTCAGCAATTCTTTCCACTTGTCCTTGGTGTTAACCTAGATAGGCTGTTTCTGGACTGTATCTACATGATGTCTTAGGCTGTGTTACGAGATGTGCCTTTGAGAAGAATTTGTTCTGTCATGTTTCTTTTGAAAGAAAGTATTGTAAATTTGGACCTGAGCTGTCTGCTCTGAGCCCAGCAATGTAGCTATTTTTTTTTAAGTTGGAACAATAGAAGCAGCATGAATGGGTGGGGTCAAGCTCCCATGGAACCTGGATTTTAGTTTTAGCTTTCAATAGCTGTTAGGGTTCGGAAGCTGCTTTACATCTCTCCTTGCAAAATGCTTGAGTTCTCTTTTTCTATGAGTTTTCTCTTGATGTTCTTTCCTCCTGGACTGGAGAATTGCATGTAAGACAACCTGTTTTACTGAATATGCCTTTGCCAAGGGTGTGTTTATGGATGTTACTATTTTGGAATAGTTGCTATTATAGTAGTTAAATAATCTATTATTATGTTAAGTTTTCCAATAGAGTTAAGTTATTCCAATTCTTCTTTCTTTTGTTTGTACTTTTAACTATAGTGTAAGAATAAAGTGTGTTTTGTTTCAAGCCCAATAGTTTGATTAATCAAATTGTATCCGGAACACAACGTCTCACACTTGTTTTTGAAAATAAGAAAAAGTTGGTGTCTAGACTCTCTTCTTAACATATTCTTGAAGGGGTTTGATCTGGTCCATAACAGCAGTCCCTCAGGATCAAGGATGCCTACCTTCCAGTCAGAAGCTGTGAGTCCTGAGCTAACTGAACAGTCCAATGCTGGATCCACACATCCTGCCAGAGGTGGCAGGATGGTGTTTGAGGGGAATTTTACACCTGTTCTCCATATGGGCCTGTCAGAGACACTGGAGATGGTTGCCTCCTTTCCAAATGCATCTTCTCCGAAGTGGATACTCTCAGGCATGCGGTTCCCGTGAGTGTATGGGGATGTTGCATTTCTTCAGGGAGGATTTGATGAAGTTCTTGATGGGTTTCATCTGCCATCCTAGTAACCACTCGTCATGATGGAGCTTCAAGTGGTGAATTTGGTTTCAAATTCATGTGTCATACGTGAGGGCAATGTGGCTCAGGCAAGGCAGCTGCTCGACTATGACCAGCATCTTAAATGGGGGGGTGTTGGCCTGAGAGAGAGCACTGATACTGGAGCGTCTGTCCTGAGAGAGAACACTGATACTGGAGCGTCTGTCCTGAGAGAGGGCACAGATACTGGAGCATCTGTCCTGAGAGAGGGCACAGATACTGGAGCATCTGTCCTAAGAGAGGGCTCAGATACTGGAGCATCTGTCCTGAGAGAGGGCAGTTATACTGTAGCATCTGTCCTGAGAGAGGGCACCGATACTGGAGCGTCTGTCCTAAGAGTGGGTGCTGATACAGGTGCGTCTGTCCTTAGAGAGGGTGCTGATACTGGAGCATCTATCCTATGAGAGAGCACTGAAACTGGAAGGTGTATCCTGAGAGAGGGCACTGATACTGGAGCGTCTATTCTGCCAGTGGAGTTGCATAGTTTTGTGGAGGCATCAATGGTGATATTTCTCAAGGGTTTAGAGGTGTCTGGTGTCAAAGTCTGCCAGTGAAGATGGTGACTAATTTCTGTGGGCAGCCTCATTTGAGGAGGACGCTCCATCATCTCCCTCAGTTGACAAAGCGAAGTCAAAGAAGGCCATGTATAAGCTACTGCTGCTCTCTGCATCTTCTGTAATTGTCTTACTGTGAAGATCATGTCCACTGTGCCCCTTGCTGGACCGAATCCACATAGCGGCTCTGATAGAAGCTCTTTGGAAGGAGGTGGTTAAGGAGAGTTCGTGAAGTCTTCCCTGTAACAGAGAGCAAGGAGAACTATCTGTAGTTGCCCAATTCTCTGAATGCACCTGACCCAAAATTATTCCTAGATTTCCTAATCACCTTACCCAGGGATTTCTGCCACAGAAATGATCCACATCCCAGGAACCTTCTGATATCACTATAATTTAGACGTTGGAGGAGGAAAGTGACCTCCAGTTATGCTACTTGTTATTTGTTAAAAGTCTGTCAAAGGTTTAAGCTAAAATATGTTCCAATCACTTGGATTTGGAATTTTTCAGACAATGCAGTATGTTGATGAATCTGCTGGACCTTTGCCTTGATATCGCCTACAACAATGTGGAGCCCTAGGCAGCTCTGCAGCTGTGGGTTTACTGAGGTTTTATACAGACTCAGTGGAGACTAAATGTTGATAGCTCCCAGAAATATGCATGAAGACTCAATGCAGGATTAACACAGAGCAGCAACCTCTAATGCACAGCAATACCATTCTGTGATTTAACATGACTTCAGTTGGTAGCCAGCACTAGATGTGTTGTTCAGTGGCTATCTGACTCAGTATGGAACCCAAAATTGTGAGGAACTAGCATGATTTAAACTTAAAATTAATTGTGCACCTCTTAAAGGAAGCTTGCATTATGGTTGGAGCAGCTGCTGGAAGCGACTGTGGAAGACACTCTGGTAAGGTAAAATAGTAATGATCCCATAACTGGGATAGCGCTAGATCCGTGATTAACAGATATCGCAGCAGAGGTCATTAGCTGTGAATGTGGAGAGGAGGACATGAGATCGCTATCTCCAGGGACCCTCCACTCTGAAGCCCATGGCCGTCAATGTCAGAAGCCAAGCTCCAAGAACCTGGATTCAGTGCTGCAAGAAGCTCAATGAGCTCACAAGAGTGGATTAGGTCAGTAAATGAACAGGAGGAGACCAATTCAATTCCGTTAGCATGCTTTCTCTCCATGATGCTGCCTGACCCACTGTGATCTCCAGCATTTTTGTTTTCAGTAATGCCTGAACTTATTCCACGTTTATTAAGATCATGGCTGACCTTGAAGCTAATACCATGGATTTGCGTGTCCGTCATATCCTATACTAGTTTTGATTTGAAAATTGACCTCAGATTTATACTTAACCATTGATCAAATATGAATTGCTGCCGACAGAATTGAGTTTCTTTTGTGTAAAAGTACTTCCTAATTTTTCATCCTATTGACCAGGGATAAGGTTGTGCCTGATTAATTCCTTGCTGTGTTCTCCAGCTAATCTGGCAATCTACCAAATCCAAATCAAAAACATATAAAAAGCCAAATTCAAATCTACCTTTCTCTATCTGTTCCTTGAAACCACTGTCCTCAATTCACTTACAGCTTCACTTCCAAAGATTCCCATCTGTCTGTACTCTGACCTTCCCTTCAGCAGAATGGTTCTGCTCACCCAAACTCTTATACCTCCCCTTAAAGTTCATTTAAACTGTCTCTCCCACACTTGCCATTTCCCTAACTACGGCCCTCTTCTCTACTGCTTTAACCTAAAAGACACAGACCTGAAGGGATATGGCAAGCCACACCTAAACTTGGCTGGACCACTATCATCTCCTGTTTTTGTCTTTAAAACTGCTCAATATTCTTGGATCATCCTGTCATACAAACATTATTCCTGGCTCCTTATTTAAGAAAGAATATAATTGCATTAGAAGCAGTTCAGAGTGGGTTCATGTGAGTGATTCCTGGAATGAAGGCTTTATCTGATGAGGAAAGGTTGGCTAGATTGGGCCTGTATCCATTACAATTTAGAAGAATAAGAGACATTCTTATTAAAATATGTAAGATCCTGAGGAGACTTGACAGAGTGGATATGAAAAGGAAGTTTTCTGTTAAGGGAGAAACTAGGGCTAGGGAACGCAGTTTAGAAATAAGGGATTCCCATTTAAGACACAGATGAAGAGAATATTTTCTTTCCCTGAGAGAGTTGTGAGTCTCTGGAACCCCAGAAAGCAGTAGTGGAAGAGTCATGGAATATTTTTAAGGTTGAGTTAAACAGATTCTTGTTTAACAAGAAAGTTGAAGAGTATAGGGAGCTGACAGGAAACTAATCAGATCAGCCTTGATCTCCTCAAATGGCAGAGCAGGCT